TCTAGCTACTACACTCTGTTTTTTGCTCTTCCAAGTCACGAGGTTTCCACCAAGGAAGGTGCAGTATCCAGTAGTTGATCTCCTATCTACCACTGACCCCGCATAGTCCGCATCCGTATATGCTTCAAGACTTACACTCTTGTTTCGTTTGAACAAAATCCCTCTTCCTGGGGTCCCTTTCAAATACTGGACAATTCTAAGAGCAGCTTGTAAATGTGCTTCCTTTGGTTGGTGCATAAATTGGCTGACTAGACTTACAGCAAAAGCAATGTCTGGTCTAGTGTGAGATAAGTAAATAAGTCTTCCCACAAGTCTTTGATACATTTCCTTGTCCACTGCAATATCCTCCTCCGCACTTCCCAGCTTTATATTTGGATCAACTGGGGTACTTGCTGGTCTACAGGCTGTCTTACCTGTTTCTTTAAGCAAGTCAGTAATATACTTTTGTTGAGATATGAAGATTCCTTTCTTGGAATGGGCCACTTCAATTCCCAAAAAATATTTAAGTCTCCCTAATGTCTTGATCTCGAATTCCGTGGCAAGGCATTCACCTAACATTTGTTGCTCCTTTTTGTCATCCCCACTTACTATAATATCATCTACGTACACCAATAAAATTGTTACTCCCCCTGAAACTGAATGTTTGATAAATAATGTGTGATCCCCTTGGCTCTGTTTGTAGCCCAGACCTAACATAACCTTGGTGAATCTTCCAAACCACGCTCTTGGGGATTGTTTCAGCCCATATAGAGCCTTTCTTAGCTTACAAACAGTTCCAGCAGCAACCTGTCCATTGTAACCAGGGGGCAACTCCATGTATATTTCTTCTTCAAGGTCTCCATGTAAAAAAGCATTCTTCACATCGAACTGTTGCAGGTCCCAACCATAATTTGCTGCTAATGACAATATTACTCTGACCGTGTTCATCTTAGCAACCGGGGAAAATGTTTCCAAGTAATCAATTCCATAGGTTTGAGTGAAGCCTTTGGCCACTAATCTTGCCTTGTAACGTTCAATGGTCCCATCAGCCCTGTACTTTACTGTATATACCCACTTGCATCCTACTGTTTTTTTTCCAATTGGTAGGGTGACAAGTTCCCATGTTCTATTCTTGCTTAACGCCTCCATTTCCACATCCATGGCTTGTTTCCATTTCATATTAGATAATGCTTCAGATACAGAGGAAGGTGTGTGTGTGGAGTTGAGGTTTGTGAGGAAGGTTTTATGGGTAGGTGAGAATTTTTCAAAGGATAAGAAATTTGATAGTGGGTAAAGTGGTTGTTGGGTGCATGCTCTAGTTCCCTTTCTAAGGGCAATGGGTAGGTCTAGATTTTGGTCCATCTGTGCTTCTAAATTTTCAAAAACAAACTCATTAGAATCATTGGAATTTATAGGATTCGGAAGTGTTACCTCATGCAGTGATGATGGGCTGGACTCTTGGACATTGCCAGATTCTAGAATGGCCTTTTCTCTCCTTGAATATACCAGATTTTTCCCAAATTTTCCACCATTAGGTGCAGGTTCAGGTGCAGGTCTTGCTGTTGGTTCAGGTACAGGTGTAGGTGCAGGTTCTGCTGTTCGTTCAAGTGCAGGTCCTGCTGTTGGTTCAAGTGCAGGTCCTGCTGTTCTCTCAGTTTCAGGGACAGCAATGCCATTTGTCCCAATTTCAGGTCCAAATGTCATATTTGGAAGCATGAGAGTCTCATCTTCCTCTCTTACATTCTCCCCCTGAAGATGAGGCTGCCCAAAGTAGCTCTCTCGTTCGTTGAAGGTGACATCTCTTGACACATAGAATTTTTTTGATAGGGGGTGAAAACATTTGTATCCTTTTTGTGTGGTAGAGTACCCTAAGAATACACATTTGACAGCCCTAGGGTCCAATTTCCTCCTTTCGTTACTATGAACATGCACAAAGGATACACACCCAAATATTCTAGGTTGGAGTTTATTTGTAGGATCCAAGTGTGGGTAGAATGAGGATAGGACTTCCATGGGGCTTTTTGAGTCTAAGATTTTAGTGGGCAACCTATTGATGAGATAGGTGGCAGTAAGAAGGGCTTCCCCCCAGAATCTCTTAGGAACATGGTTTTGAAAAAGTAGAGCTCTAGTTTGATCTAATAGGTGCCCATTTTTCCTTTCTGCAATCCCATTTTGTTGGGGTGTGTTTACACATGAGGACTCATGGATTATCCCTTCCTTTTGGCAAAAAGAGTTTAGTACAAGGTTAAAATAATCCTTGGCATTATCAGACCTAATTCTTTTGATACCGACCCCAAATTGATTTTTAATCATTGAGATAAACTGAAAAAACACAGAGCTAACTTCGGATTTTTGTTTTAAAAGAAAAACCCAAGTCACCCGGGTACAATCATCTATGAAGGTTAAAAACCATTTAGCACCTGAGATATTAGGAACGTAAGCAGGACCCCATACATCAGTGTGAACAAGAAAAAATGGGCAAGGACTCATCTTATTGCTAATGGGAAAAGGTACACGCTTGTGTTTAGCAAACTCACACACATCACAGTGGAGACTCTCCACATTTAAATTTTTAAACAAGAAAGGGAAAAGCACTTTTACAACTCGAAATGAAGGGTGTCCTAGCCGGCAATGGTATAGTTGAACTTTCTCTATGTTGGTCATGGTGGATTCAGATATGAGAGAGCGGCTATTGGTAGGCAGATTAGGATCCTCCATGTAGTATAGGCCATTCCATTCTCTAGCATGTCCAATCGTCTTCCCCGAGTTCTTGTCCTGCAGTATACAAGAGTAGTTATGAAAAACAGCATTACAGGAGAGATCTTTTGTGAGTTTTTGTATAGAAATCAGATTGGTGGATAATTTAGGGACATGAAGGACATTTTTTAATGTTATGGATGGGTTTATTTGGACCTCTCCTTGTCCTGCTGCAGTCATAAGAGTTCCATCTGCTGTGGAAATTTTCTTGCTGCTAGGACATGGGGAATATGTGGAGAAATATTTGGGTAGAGGGGTCATATGGTCAGTGGCTCCAGAGTCTAATATCCAGTAATGTGTAAATGGTGTATCTGAAACATTAAGCCCAAAAGAAAGTGGAAACTTACCAGAATATGTTAAGGAGCATGTACCTGTAGGCTTCTCCAATTTACTAAGGAAGGATCTTACCCGCTCTATCTCTTCATGATTCAGCTGGCCAGATCCTTCACTTTGTCCATGACTGATGTGTGCTTGCCCTTGCCCTCCTTTTTTGGGAGGACCTCCTTTCGGCCCCCATTCTCGGCTTGGGGGTTTCCCATGTAATTTCCAGCACTTCTCCCTTGTGTGACGCGGCTTGTTACAGTGGGTACACCAGATATCCTCATGTTTTTTCTCCATGTTGGGAACCCCACTTCTCCTTTGGTTAGCAACCATGATTGTTCCTCCTTCAGCTATCATTGCCGAACTTTCAGTTATTGAGGTCTCGAGCATCAATCCTCTTCTGCTTTCTTCACTCCGGATAATGGCTACCACTTCATTAAGCCCTGGGACTTTCTCTTTTCCCAGGATTTGGATTCGGACCTGGTCATATTCAGGATTTAGGCCTACCAAAAAATCATAGACTCTATCTTGTTCAATATACTCCTTAAGGATTGCTGAGTCTTCTGAACATTTTGCTTTTATAACTCGATAGTGGTCCAATTCCATCCATAGAGACTTGAGTTGATTAGCATATTCTGTAACAGATCTGCTTCCCTGTTTGGCAGCCACAGTTTTCACCTTTACATCATAAATTTGGGCAGCATCCTTGGCCTTAGAATACGTTTGTTCTACTGCCTCCCAAATTTCCTTTGCTGATTTAAGAAACATGCAGGTATCACTAATTTCTGGGACCATTGAATTCCACAGCCACGCCATGATCATGGAGTCTTTTTCTTCCCATGATTTGAAGTTGGGATTTGTTTCATCAGGTGCACTATCAGTTAGGTGACTGACCTTTCCTTTTCCTTTCAAGATGGTCCTAATAAGTTGAGACCATTTGAGAAAATTCTTCCCATTTAACCGATAAGCAGAATGAACATTCTGCAATTCTCCGGCAGTCTGGGATCTGTCCCCAGTTTCCAGAATAGGATCCACAATCTCAGCCATGACCAGGTGCGATCAAGGTAGAGAAGGTTGCGCTGCAATGAAATCGGCGACAAGGTATAAAGGTAGTGCAGCAATGAAGCCTGCAACTTAGGGTTTACAAGCACGGTCAGAGACTCCCAAGGATCGGGAGCTCTGATACCATATCAAATTTAGAATAAATAATATTGTTGTTTTATTATTATGAGGTCACTGGACCTGTATATATACATGAGCTTGTAGTCTATTTTAGGGAATTGGACAGCTAGTTCTAAGGAAACAAATCCTTGTGATTATGGGATTGATCCTAAATAAATAAACCTAATAATTAGCAAGATATACAGCTGTTACAGAATTACTGCAAATATAAACCTTCCTAAAATACATAAAGACAATAACTGTTTTGACACTTACCATTACTACACAATAATCATGTCTACATCAATTGAGTGGAAAGCAAAGACAATTGAAGTAATTTCGTGAACCAAAAGTTGCATTGATAGAACTTGATTGCCATTAAATAACAGTAGATGAAAAATGTATTAATAGTTTATTGTATTCATCTATCACCTAGAAAAGGCTTCAAGGTTTTCATTATCCAAATCAAGAGGGTAATTCAGTCATTTGGATATTGATGAGTTAAGGAATCAAAAAAGGCACAATATTGTGATGTTTTGTTAGCTAATAGCAACAATATTGTAGTTTAAAATATAAGGAACAAGTCACAAGCAAATGGAGTGTTCCCATGTTACAGGTACTAATAATGCTCAAGCAGAAAGGGTCACTAAACCCTCTGTTAGTACATGTCAGCATGAAGCATAAGAATGTCTCTTTCCTTCTTGTGATTGAACTTCGCAGAAAGGAAAAACCGACTTTGATTCCGAAATCTTACTTATTATAAATGTGATTTTCGCTTCAATATGATTCAAAGAAAGGTTTGCGGTGAGCTTGGTATCCAAGCTGATCGTGTCAATTTTGACAAAGGCACAACAAACATGAAGGTAGATTATTCTAAGCACCAAGATGGTAAGGGCAGAGGAACCTATGGGATGAAGAAAATAAAAAAGTCGAGTTTAATTAAGCTTTTGGATATGGAGGCACTTGAATCACCACCTCCGAGGAAGAGTTTATCTCAATCAAAAAAGATGTTACCTCTTCATGTTCCAACCACTGCAGCAACTGCACAAAAGCATAAGCCTTTGCTGAGAAAGTCACCCAATTACATGAAGCCTACCAGCAGTTCAGAAGCAAAAAAGGAGCTTTTACCGGTGAGTCTTCAGAATACCCAATTTGGCTCGGATGGTAAGAATCTGCCACAAAAAAGTTTGAGTAAGTCAAAATCTAGTTCTGCTCCTTACAAAAAAACTGCAAAAATTATGTCAAGATCATCTAGTGTGAATTTGGTGAGAACATTAACGAAGACTCTTAGTTTTAAGCAAAGTAGAATTTGTCCGAGAAAACCTACGGCAATAGTGCTGCGTGCAGATATTAGTGCACCATACAGAGCTACCTGCTCTTCAACTTTGAAAGATTCCAAGTTCCCTGAACACCTCATGCTTAATACTGGAGGCAGTGAGTCAGAGGGAGCTTTGATAATGAAGGTTTGCCCATATATATATTGTTCTCTCAATGGAAATCACCATCCTCCAGAAAAGAGGCGCTTTTTCAAGACTCGGAAAAGTATAAAGCTGGAAGGTTCTGAAAAATTGAAGGTGCCTTGTGAGACAAGGAACGATTTTGATATTGAGCCGATTGTCTTTGATGGAAAACCTGCATGCGATGAAGCTGATAGGGGTAATCCATCAAGCATTACCTTAATACGAGAAATTGGTATAGATTTCTCTTTTCAAGTCAATGACAAGGAACGGGAAAAAGCATACAAAATGGGAAGATCAGACGCTGTCAAAAACCTTGAGGATCAAGAAGGTATCAAGTTTGCAATGGAGGGGAATGGAAACATAGCAGAAGAGGAAGGTGTCTATCTAGTAAATCCTTATGTGCCTTGTGATCTCACCAAGTCTGAGATCAATCCCAAGGTGGAATTCAAAAACTACTTCGACGGTTCTGAAATTGAAGCCGAAACCAAGGAAAGTTTTCACCAAAAACTAAACGCAGAAGATTCAGACAAAAACCACCCACCTAACTGGTTTTATGAAGGAATATGTACTGGAACCTACACCCATGAGGTTAGCTATGATGAAGAACTCATGGAAAATATTGAATTGGATGATTCTAATTCCCAAGGTAAAGAAGAGAAAAACACATCTTTTGATGCACAACCTCGTGATACAAAATTTGTCCAAGAAAGCTCAAGTGAAAGCATACAGGCTGATTATCCGTCCAACGGCACTGATCATGAGTATGACCTACAGTATTTGAAAGAGGAAGAATTTCAGTTTCTGACAAACATAGAAGATAATGTTCGAGAAATTGAAAAGCATGTGGATAATGGGGCCAGTTGCACCTCAATGGTACTTGAAGAAGATACAGTTCACAATCGTGAAGCTCACAAGATCAGTGAAACTCACATGATTGAAGAGAGTCGTGAAGATAGCAACACAAACCTAGAGAATAATGCTAAAGAAATTAGCCAAATGAACCAAATTCTCTCATCTGATCTGCCTGGAGAAAGCTCCATTATAGCTCAGGACCACAAATTACTGGAGGAAGATCTAGTTACTGCCACTAAGTTCCAGACGATATGCTGCAAAGGTGGTGAAGGGCAGAACACAAGCAATAATTGGCAATCGCTAGCTAAGAACAAGAGAATTATTCAAGATGATGAGGAAATGAGAATGATCAAACCAAGAAAGCCAAATTTCCTGCCCTTGGTTCCTGATCCAAAACCAGAAAAGGTTGAACTGAGGCACCAAATGATAGACGATAGAAAAAATGCTGAGGAATGGATGCTTGATTTTTCACTCAGACAAGCTGTTACAAAACTTGCTCCAGCCAGGAAAAAGAAGGTTCCATTGCTTGTTGAAGCTTTTGAAACAGTAATGTCAACGTCGTAATGAGAAACTCATAAGAAATAATTCAACCACAGCTCATGCAAGACCTATTCAAGCTTGTAGCTAATGCATGCTACTGAGATTTTAAAAAAAGACCTGATCTTATACTTTTCGGGAAGTGCTACTGCTATCTTGCCCTGATAACACAGGAGTAAGCAACCAAGAGAAAGCCAATTTCCACGAGAAATCTACAAACCTATTACAGCAAGTAATTTGTCCTACATCTCCTTTTCTGGAACATGGAGACAATTCATCTTGCAGGATTAAGGGAACATGTGAATTTTTTACACGGAAAGAGAAACATTAGAACGAGATTTTATGGTTTCCACTAAGCTTTGTGGATTTTCTCCATCAATTTATTTGCTGTATTCTAGAACCTGGTGTTTTAATTTCTTTAGGTTGTGTTTGTTGCACTAGCATTTCCATGTTATAATATAAGGAGCACTCATGCTCCAAATTTGTTAGTATATTCTATTTTTTGTATAATGTAGATGCATAGCTAATAGTTTCTTTATATACTTTTTTTTCTGGTTTTGCCATCATTCATCCTAAAAAAATACTGAAATATGACTAGTGAACTGCTCTCGTGATTAACTCCAGTGATCAGTTTCAAGATTCTATAACCAATGGAAGAATCTATAACAAATGAAAAGTAAAATATATATGTGTTCAGCTTTTGTTATTCAGATTCTGATAGGCAGTTCACATATATCTGCAGTTAGAAATTATAAACCGCATCGATTCAATATTTGAAGAGATCAATAAATAACAAACCTTTTCTTTCCACAAGTCTAAATATTCATATTCATGAGAAGAGCCTGATGTGATGATAAGTAAACAGCATAAACAATAGCTTACCAGGCTAATAGTAATAAACAAACAACGATAAATATACAGAAAAAGAAAAGGTCCAATAGGGGCAACATAAGCTATACATTTATTAAATATATGTGAAAAAAATGAAAAATCAACATGACAATGAACCACACTGAGAACATAGTTTTATTAACTACAGATCATAATGCAAATTACAACTGAATTTTGACTTGTTTCATTAAGCTCAACTGTGTTTATTAAGCAGATAATACAAGTGGAACATTATTTGTTTATTTGAGGTGAAAGAGCTAAACAACACAAATTCTGTTAACTACAAGATTAATGATTACAACTAAGGTAAAAAAAAACAATGGTTTGTATAAAAAACATGGTTTTCATTACCAAAAACAGAGTTTATGGATGGAACTGAATTTACACAACTTATAAGTTTTTACAATCATAGAAATGGAAGATATTTTCCACAAAAAGCCATTACCATTCTAGGCTAAAGTATTTTACATACAATACAAGGTATCACCGTTTATTTCGGTTCAGGTAAATGACTGTCAATGGCAGGAGTATCACAAATCAGAGATTCAAGTTGTGCACGATAATTTGTCAGAGGCGAGTTATGTGAAATTTGCTCGTGCAAACTTACTGCGTGGCCGCTAACACCTGCATGCTCATTTTGTTCCGAAGCTTCTTGTGCTTTGAAATCTTCATGAAACAACCTAAGGGCATCTGTTGTTGACAAAGACTGCACTGATTCGTACAGCTCTTGGAATTCATTTCTCTTTTCTAGTGATTCAACCAATTTCTCTTTTAACTCATTCGGAAGATGAGCAAAAGCACTTCGCAAAAACAAAAAAAGTGAAAAAGAAAATAATCAAAAAAATATATAACTAGCGAGCTAGTACCAGTTTAAAATTCAAATAAAGTTGCAAAATCATCTACTCCCTTCCCTCAATCCCTTATTATAAAATAGACCAGATACATCAGTTATTCAATTAACCTTATAATAAGAAACGGAAAAAGTATATGTATTTCCCTCTCAAAATATTATACCTGACTACACCTCTTACAACGCCCCAGCTATAACCAGCGTGGGCAGATTGTTTAAAACCGATATTGAACCCCTCTTGTGCAGAAGCTTCCTTCGCCGCTATAAGACCTTCTCTATACCCAATCTAAAGCATAAAAATCAGTAGCTAATCATTCTCTAGCAGTAAGAAAAATAAAAACTAAAATAACGAAAAACGGATTCTAGTTTGTTAAAATACCGTATGAAACTGGTCGCGTCTCCTCTGCCACTCCCTATCCAAATCTGAGGACTTATTCACATTATCATCATCAGAATCATCCCACAAAGAATCATCAAGATTCAAATTATCACCATCACAATCTGAAAGCATAGTACACAATTAGATGCATACTGAAAAACAATAACTTGAAAGCATTTAGTAATAGATTTTCCAAATCAATTCACTGATACAGAATCTTATTCACCTTTTAATTTATCTCCGTGATCATCATCTGCGCGATTCGAATTTAATTCTAATTTAGAGAATTGTAAGCTTTCAGCATAAAGTTCTTGAGCAATCTTACCCTCCATCTGCAATGCACCGTAACCTAACTCAAGGACTACAATTAATACGCTCAGTTACATAAGTGAAGCAGAAAAAAAAATCGGAAATGAAATGAAAGCGTTGGGAGGTCAGAAAAGGAAAACTAGAGATAGAAAAATCATACCGAGGTGGAAGAAAGGAGAAAATAATGAGATTTGTCTGCTCTAGAAGTGATTGATTGAGTTTAGTTATTGGGCCAACAAGAGGGGTATGATTTGGGCCCTAATTCGCATGTCATAACATTACAGAGGATTTAATCTGTCATCCCACATTTTAAACCTGCCACCCTCAATATTTTCATAACGCCAAAAATATTTTAGATAAAATAAAATAAAATTGTCTAACAAAATTTTCGATAGTTTATTTAAAATTTTCGGTAATGAAATTTTTGATAACTCATTCAAAAAATTTCAGAAATATGCATTTCAAAAATTTTGGTAAAAAATACAAGAGTTTTTATCCGAAATTTTGAAATTTCTGATAATAACGCACATATTTCAAAATTGTTGATAAAATTTCAAGAGTTTTTATATGAATTTTTGAAATTTGCGATATAATTTTGAAATTTCTTATAAAAACTCATGGAAATTTCTGGTATTTTTTCAAAATTTCCGATATAGTTTTGAAATTTCCGATAAAAACTCATGGGAATTTCAAAATTTTCAGTAAGTTTTAAAATTTTCGGTCAAAACTCATACTTTTTAAAATTTAATAACTTTAGGCAACGGTATAATAGTAAAAGAATGTAAAATGGGGGATGTCAGTTATAAGTTAGGGTGTGGGAAGTTAATTCCTCAATATTATAGCACATAGAAAGTTACTTCTCACACCCCCAAAAAAATATATTCCCTCCGTTTTAAAATGACTATCGTTTAAGATTTTTGCACACAAATTAAAGAATATAATAATATTATCATAAAATATTTTACTTTTATTAAATTAATCATATAAATATATTAGAAGTAGTGTAGAGAGTAATAGAACACAATTGGAAAATAAGCAATCATTTTTACATTAAAAAGTGAAAATGACATTCATTTTGAAATAAATTTTGTTTGTTAAAACAACAATCATTTTGAAACCAATAGAGTACTATTATTCTAATTTTATCCTTTTTAAAATTTAAAATTAAGATCGGATTTGTTCGATTTTAAATTTGTGGACCCCTACTATATAGCACAAATAGGGGTAGGGATAGGTCGGACCGAGTCGAGATGAGTTTTGCTTAAATAGCTCAAGCTAGTTTTAAAAATATAAAGTTTGAGTTTGGTTTGGCTTATTAGTTGTTAAATGATTTATTTTAAGATTGGGTATTTTTTTTAAATTACTAATTCATTAATATAAAATAAATGAGTTTATACAAAAATAGAAGGTAAATTGGCAACAAGTTGTGTTGCTATACTTTTTTAGATTGCAAAGTCAATCCTCTTAAAAATTACATTCATAAATCTAGGAGATACAACATTATTACTCATAAGTCTTTGGACTCTCTATAAAAGATCAACTGCTTCTGGTGCTAGAAAACCAAAACTGTTAAAAGAAATGGTATGAATGTGTGTTGATTGTTGAAACACATTTTCTCATGTTTGACCACTTTACTTGAAGCGACTTTGAGATCTGTGTGTCCCACGGTAAAACCTCCAGTCCTCAGTCCCACCAGTGGATAAACTTCAGTCAAGTCTACACAAACATGTTTTCCCGCTACTCAACCATACACTAGAATATTTGTTAACCTAAGTGTCGATCGGCCCTCATATGGATCGGTCAAGAAATTCACAGGCACCTCTTTCTTCATAGATACTTCAGCCCGCCGAAATATATCAAACAAGACATCTCTGACAAGTTCACATCGGTATTCGAAGCCTAGAAGCTCCCTACAATGGGTCGTGTGTTTCCCAATTGTATCCAAACACGCCTTGCGACAAATAAAGCAAACCTCATCAATAGGAAATAAAGGAATCATAACGTGGTATTTCAAGATAGTATGATACTCCATTAATGAGATATGTTGGTCTAACCCATTAATAGGAATATCAAGGAGAAAGTCTTGAGCATGTGCGGCTTGTAAGCAATCAAAAACTGTTTTCTGTCTAGTTGTCATAGCAAACTTTATATCCATGTCCTTAACAGTTATACTAAAGAGTACACTCGCCAAAACATGTTGTGCTTTAGGAGAGACAATGTTTTTGCTAGTAAAACTACTAAGCTCAAAATTTGGAATTGCAACCCTAAGACCATTAAAGGCTCTGTCAAAATATGAGTCCAGTATGAACTTTTAAAAATCCAGTATGACCTATTAGTATGTTTAACATCATATTTTGTATTAAAAGTTTTAAAAAGAACATTCGACCTACTTCTAAAAAGGTTAATAGAAAAATAAATATCATGAAGTTTGTATTCAAAGAAAAAGGAAGAATTTTGGAATTAGATATCAGTAATGCAATCATAGTACAACACAAGCTCTTAACCGACATTATTGAAGAACTTGCAAAAATAATAGTCAATCAGGAAGACAAGTCTTCAAAGCTTGAATAAATAGTGGATTAGTTTAAGGATGTATTCACGACTGTAACACCCCAATTCTACCCCAAGCAATTATCAGAAAATCAGAGTATAAAAATTTCTA